CACACCACGCCACACCCCACATGCCACGTGTAAACACCTGCGGGTGGCCCTGAGTCCAGGGCAGGCTCTGTCCCCAGCTGCACAGGGGAACGGCCTCATGCCATGGAGCAGGAGGTGACGTAGGAAGACCCCAGCCATGCGTGGGGTCAGGTGCTGGTGGCCATGGCCTGTCCTGCGATGCGCTCCAGGGTCCCCTCTCCAAGGGTCAGGCCCCTCGTCTGCAGGCCATGACCCAGCCTGTCTCCAGAGCYGCAGGTGGACCTGGGCACCCAGGTGGCCAGCATGCCGGGAGACACAGTCTGGAAACTCAGGAACCCCAAGGCTGGCTTGAGTCCTGCCCTGCGGGAGGAAGGCGGGCAAGGTGGACAGCGGTGGGCGTCCCGCCGCAGGAGCAGCGAGAGGTGGGTGGGAAACCAGAGTAGGGGTGCGGCCAGAGGCCATGAAGCAGGGAGACTGACCCGGAGCAGTGAGAGGCGACACGCAGGCACAGGCTGAAGGACAAGCAAAGCCCTAGACATGGCCTGGGACACAGGAGGCTGGAGGGACAGGAGTGTGGATCAAAGGTAAGCAGCAGACACGCCAGGAAGACACACAGCCGCCCAGGACGCACCAGATCCAGATGGCCCAGGGCCGCTGTGTGCAGAGTGATGCCTGCCAGGGGTGTGTGCCCACCAGGGGTGTGTGCCCACCAGGGGTGTGTGCCGTGTGAAACCAGAAACAAGGCCCTGCCCTTAGCAGTCTTCAAGTCCACCCCCCCTCCCCGCCACTTTCTCTTCTGATGCTGGAAATTGAAGCAGGTGCTCGATCCCTGAGCTGCACCTCCAGACCTGGTTTTCCATTGTGAAGCAAGGTCTTGCAGTCACCCAGGCTGGCCTCAAACTTTCCATCCTCCTGCCTCAGCCTCCCAAGTCACTGGGATTACCAGTGTACCACCATGCCTGGCCACGCTAAGCACACGATCCACCACTGGCCCACACCCAAGCCCTGTGACAAATATTTTCCATGTCCTCTGTTAATTTCTAATATGATACATGTCACTAACAGGATCTCCCAACCACACTCTATTCACACCTGGGCAGGACCCTGTCTGGGGTGGCATGTCCTGTGTACGCAGCTGCTCGGCATCCTCCCTCGTGTCCACCCACTAGATACCAGCGGCCACTGCTCCCCACCAGCTGTGTCAATCAAAACCACCTCGGACCTTGCCAGGTGTCCACTAGGGCACAGGGGATTTCGCCTCATTGAGAACCACAACAGACCCAACTCCYGGAAACAAGTGCTCTTCTCAGAGCGTGTGGAGACCAAAAGGTGGACGCCCTTCCTGAGCTCACCACTACGGAGAGCAAACGCAAGAGTCCTTTTAAAGAATTAGCAAGCAGAGCCTAACAGTCGAAAAGCCGACAGGTGACCCCTCGCCGGGGCTGGCTCCRTGGACGCAGGATGGAGGGCATGAGGTGACCTGTAGGAAGGCCGTAGTGTTTCTCTGACCATGTGGACCAGCTTGACAAACTCAACCACTTCCTGTAAAGACGCTTGGAACCAGGGTCCATTCAGGTGCACACTCACCTGAGGCCCCTGCCAGGTGCCACCCTCTCCAATGGCAGTGGTTCACTTGATGGAGGGACATGGCAAGCAGCAGGAATAAGACTGGCCAGCCTCGCCCAGGAATAAACGGACACTCACAATGACACTTATCAGCAAACCAGTCCCAGCCGCGTACTGACAAAGACAGCCAATGACCACGCCAGCTCTGGCTGAGCTGAGCACACAGGAGTTCTCTGTTTGCCACAGAAGATCAATCAGTGTGACCACTGTCAGACAAGAGGAGGGAGACAATGTGTTTCATCAGAGCAAGAAGAGCAGGTGCTGAGCCTCAGGACACCTGCCACAGAGGTGTCCGTCCTGAGAGCCGGCGCCAGGCGAGCACCTGTGGTCCCAGCCTCTCTGGAGGCGAAGGCAGGAGGTCACTGGAGCCCATGAGTTTGGAGCCAGCCTGGGCAGCACAGCACGACTCTGTCTCTTAAAAACAGAGTAAGAGAGAGAAAGATCAGGAAGAAGAAARCACGCTCCCTCCACCGGCACGCCCAGCTGTCCACACAGAACGCCCAAGTTCTCGAGGCCAGTTGTGGGCAGTAACAAGTGTGGCAGGAGGCCATGGGCAGGCAGAGTGCTCACACAGCCGGCTCTTGCCCTCCGCGAGGGCCTCCAGTGGCCAGCAGCCTCATGAGAGAAATCCACCTTTGCTTAGAGGGACAAGGAGACAGCAGGCGTGAGGTGCGGCCCCCTGTGTCCACCATCAGGTGGGTGCCCCCAGGGCCCTCCAGCTCTGACCTCCTGATGCCAGCTCCCAGGGAGTGACCAGGAAAGACCAGGCAGGGCCCCGAGGAGCAGGAGGACACCTCCCAGACTCTGCCTCCCAGCCTCCACCACAGGACACACTGGAGCCTTGGGACACCTGCCAAGAGGAGTCCATCCCGAGACCTGGTGACTCTGGACACCCAATCACCAGCACGGAAGACGTTTGGGGTCCCCAGGGCCAGGCCGCTCAGAGGCAGCCTTCATTGCTGGATCGTGCACCACGCCCAGCACCACGCCCAGTCGGACAGATGGCGTCCGTAAGACAAGACACACAATGGTCATGCTCAGCAGTTGCAAGGCCAAGCACAGCTGGACAGAGGCCACAGCCCCTCTTATCTGCTGGCCAGCACCACAGAGGGCTGGGGAAGCAGCACTGCTGAACACCAGGCACCAGAAAGTAGAGGCCGGACACGAGACCTCACCYATGCCTCACAGGAGGGGCGCGGCCACCCGGATCAGGTAGCAATGCTCCCAGTGGAGAATGGATCCCAGCCCAGGCCACGTGGACACCACCTCGTCACCTTAGGGACTTACAAAGAGCACAGGCCAGAGGGACAGAGGCAGGGCCAGGTCCACACCACCTGGAAGGCAAAGTCCACCTTCCGCGGAGGCGGCATCTGGGCCAGCCAGCAGCCAGGGCTCCTCTGATCTGGACAGGTGACCTCTGACCCCAGCCAGCCCCTCAACACAGGGCGAGCCCACCAGCTCCACTGGCTCTCCAGGCCATGCCGCAGCAATGACCGATGGCCAGGCGTCTGCACCKAAGGATCACCCAGATGGACGTGTGCAAGGCACATGTGTGAGGTTTAGGACGTGCACAAACACAGGGGCCTTAACAGATGAGCAGCTCTGTGCTAAGGGAGCCCCAAGACAGCGCGACCTGGCCGCGAAGGCACCACGCCCCAGAGCTGCCCCACGCCGCGGGCTGCACAGACCCCCCAGGGCTCGGGGAAGCACACTTTCAGCTGCTCATTAGATGTGCATCTGGGTGCGGTTTTTACAAGCATATTACTTCTATGACTAAGATTTAAATACTAAGAAAAAAATTAACCCGCTCTGACCTTCTGTCTGCGGTGGTTTCCACAGGCTCCTCGACGGCCCTGAACCTGGTGAGATCTGCTGCTGCGTCTAAGAAAAGGGCTGCCCCTGGAGGACACCGGCCTCCACAGACACCTGGCGGGGCAAAGTCTGAGCCTCTGCCCTCTCACGTCCCCTCTGGGGCGAGGAACCCCAGCACAGCAAGGGTTAGTGTGCCCGAGACCAGGCGCCTCCCKGGCTCCGGCTGCAGTCCCACCAGGCTTCCTGACGCCCCAGGGTCCCCGATGCCACCCCAACCCTTTTCACCCTTCCTGGCAGCCCAGCAGGGGACCACTATTCTAAGTCMAAAGAAAGGAGCAGGGAGGGTGTTTAGCTTTAGGTCGAATGTGCTTTGTTTGCTTTGGTACATAGTAGTGGTTTGTGGCAATTTAACAAAGCACACGGCTAGGTAGCAGATCAATAAGGAGCAAATGAGAGAACCGGAGGGCAGGGGCTCCCCAACTAGTGCCCTCACTGTGACAGTAGTTCTTACAGAGTAGTCAATAATGCACTCACTTCCACAGAGACACCACACAAAGCCATTTCAACTCAGGAAAAAAGAGGCATTTCAGGGTCCGGGCCACAGGGCTGACGCTATTTTGAGTCAGATTTCCTAAATAACCACTTGATTGGCGGCAGGCTGCGTCCGTCCCGTCAGGTGTGTTTTCATGGAGCAGTGGCTCTCGGCCACCAGGGTCATGCTGCGACCCAGGAGGTTACACTGCCTGGCCACTGCCCACTGAGAACTTGGACTATGAGCTAACCCTAGAAGTTTCCAGGCAGAGGGGACAGGATCCACCTCCACAGAAGGTACTTCCAAGGCAGCTGTCACCAGGTCCACGGAAGAGAGCCAAGGCCCCCGCCCAGGCCTGACCACTGTGGATGAGCCTGTGGCGCAGCCCTAACACCAGCAGGCCCCGMGGACGACGCAGACCCCTAGGARGGGCTGTGGGAGYCCAGGAGAGACGCCCCAGGCCTGCRGACCTCCTGGAGGGGCAGCTCTGTCCTCGGGCCTGGGGCCTGTCACCTGCCTGAGTGGCCAGCCAATTTTGCATCCCCACCAGCACAGGCTCCGGGGGCTTCCTGCAGGAGCAGGCTCCACCTCTCAGGTCCATGTGCACTGACCCAGAGCCTCACCAGGGGTCCCAGATGGAGGGCTACCAGCCAGTCTCCAGGAGACCCAGGGGCTCCTGGGGCCRCTCTGCTGGGGGGACCCCTACCCAGCTGTGCCCCAGCAGTGGCCTTGGCCCAGTGGCACTTGGGCTGGGCCCCTTCCAGCTGAGCTCGTCCCTCCCAGGCACAGAAGTATCTGAACTTCACCCTGCAGACTTGGAGCAGGCGGCAGCAGCTCTGTGGACCCCCTCTGAGCACAGGAACTACCTACGCGGGCCCTCGGGACGCGCCCACGGCCCCCGTGGTGCCAACAGCCACATCTAAGCTGGTGGGAACCTGGGGTGCAGAGGTCACTGGTCCCCAGCCTCCACTGGCCAAAGCTGGCCATGTCACCAAGGGGCCCAGGGACACGAATGGAGACGCGGCATGCTGCAGGCACCCTCGGCACTCACCAAGGCACGGGGTCAGCGGGGCAGGCAACGACTTCCTCGGAGATGTCTGACCTGAAGGGCCTGGAAGGGAGAGGACACACCRTGAGTGAGGGAACAGGACCGCCAGGTGACCCGGACGGGCAGGCTCCTGTCAACAGAGGCCGGGAGGGACCCGGAGCTGCACTTTCACCTYCCCTTCCCACCAGCACCAGAGCGCCGCCCCTGGGACCCATCAGTAGGTGACAAAGAGGCCAATGGACACCTTGGACACGAGCAGACGCTGAGGCAGCTGGAGGCCACAACCCAGGACAGGGCAGCAACCTGCAGCCCTGAGGCTCTGGCAGCAGCCAGGGTGGCCTGTCCCCGGGTGGAGCAGAAGGTGCCAGGTTCCTGCTCCTCCCCCCCCAGGGCTCTCCCAGCCCTGTCCACACTGCCCCTTCCCACAGTCCCCGACACCAGCCCAACCAAGCCCTCCCTCCGTCACAGCGAGCCCTCCCAGGTCACCAAATCCTGGGTTCACTTGCTGTAAACTAGGCCGAGATTCGCACCACAGAGAACTCACCATCCTACTGCGCCTGGTGCACAGGCCGGGGCGCTGGCCGCCTGACACTGGTCAGACATCTCCACAACCTGCCCCTCCCCGGCCCTGCCATCCGCCTTTCTGGTCTATGACTCCCACCACTTCTGGAACTCTGCTGGAATCACACATCTGTCTTCTTGTGACTGGCCTTTTTCACCATGTCCCCAAGGTTCGCCCTGATGCCTCAGGTCGCCATGCCATCTGTTCCACTGAACACACACCGTGGGCTGTGTCCCCTCCCCCAGAGCCTAACGTGACAGGACACGAAGGTGGGGCCTCATGAGGTTCTGGGGCCTGAGAGCGGGCCCGCAGCCTGGGCTGGCCCGTTCCCCCTCTGCCAGGCGAGGGCAGTCGGGAAGGACCCGGGCAGAAGCCGATCTGCCGGCACCCAGACCCAGGACCTGCTGCCCCCAGGACTGTGAGAAGCGTCAGTCGGCCAAGCTGGCCGAGGCAGGCCGGTGACACAGCCTTTCCTCTCCGGTCTTACRGTCTCACTCTCTCGGGGACCCGCTTCTAGCTCACTTTCAACATGGTGTGAGGCAGGGTCAAGCCGCTGCTTTTGCGTAGAGGGGCCCAGTACTGCCCCTCCTTGTCTCTGAACTGCACTTTCCAAGGAGAACCTGTTCTAATTCTCACCCGCTCCTTGGCACGGGACAGGTCTGACGTGCGCTGCTGTGGTTTTGTCTCCTCGGCTCGGGAGGCGCCGGCTTCTTGGATAGAAGTTTTCATCCAATTGGAAGAACTGCTGCCTTTCTTCCAGGGCTTCCTACCACGTGCCCCTTGTTCCACCAGATGAGGCTGCTCCAGGGCCCCCTTCTCTTTCTTCTCTCTGCCCCACGTCACGGGGTTGTGTCCTCAGGCTCGCCAACCTCATCTCCGGCAACACTGACTGAATCCCCCGTTGCTCTCCTCTCCATTTACTGGGCCTCTCTGTCTCCCACGTCCTCTTCACTGCTCAGCTGGCCTGTCGCTGGACATCCACCCACAGCCCTGAACCCCTCATCTGCTGACTCCCATCTGGATGACTGACAGTTCTCCTCTGGTGGCTGGGGTCACTGTGAACTGGACGCTGTGCACGGTGGCAGGCCTTCAGCTGTCACTGGGCTTGGTCCTGGAAAGGCTGTGGCTGAGTCGGCCTGACTCCTTCCAGTCTCACCGTCAAGCGCTGTAAGGCTGAGGCCCAGCAGCCTGCAGCTCAGGCCAGGTGCTGCTTGGAGGAGCCGAGGGGCCTCTCTGCTAGCTGCAGCGACACTGCACCCCAGCCTGGGCCAAGGCCAGGAGCTCTCCGAGGGCTGGGGCTAGAGCAGCCTCTCTGCTCCCCGGGGCTCCTTTGCTAAGAGCTCCCTCCTGTCCTTTATTTCCCTCCACTAATTCCAGCCTCTCACGATCACTTCACACCGCTCTGGCTCCACCAGGTCTTGGCTCCCTGACCCCGAGCCACCGAGACTTGGTAGGCACCAGGCTGGGCACCAGGCTCCTCCTCACACCTCCCCGTTCCTGAGCCAGGGGGCTGCTCAGACCCCACAGTGCTTCACACCTAAGTATCCCGAGGGTCTCTCCTCAGGGTGTGGCATCCTCCGTAACCAGAGCAGTTATCACACTGATSACTTCAGCAACCAGGCCTGGAATCCACTGAACAGCAATCTACACCGCACACCCACGTGTCCAGAAACAGGACACAGCTGGATTTCCAGCCAGACTGTCACCAAGGCGCATGTGGCACCTGGCCACTGTGGTCTCCGGGGCCCTCCTGCAGCAAGGTCGGCAACCTCCTCTGTAAGGACAGTAAATACCTCACCCCAGCCAAGAGGAAGACTCTGAGCCCCTGAGCCTTCACTTCAAACCTGTGGGGTGAACGCTACCATCTGCAGGGACCATGAGGCGCGATGGTCGGTGCTGAGTGATTCCAGGGAGTCCAGAGGAGGTCAGAGGGAGAGACAGAGAGAAGTCCGACCACAGTCACCAAGTATCTGCTTTGGAATGCTGACGGTCCTCTCACCCAGGACAGATGGCAGAGTCCTGCCACTCGGGGAGTGCCTCAGACCTCCAGGCTAGTGGGGACTGGGACGTGAGCAGTGGGCCAGGTCAGCCGGCCTAGGCAGGGCAGGCGCTGCCAGGGCTCCCTCAGACGCAAAGGGCCGCCCTGAGCAGAAACAGGGACAGGAGCGCCCAGGAGAGAGGGCGCCCGAGGCTGCTCCCGTTGTCCTCGTCACCCACGAGCCGACAGAGCAGCCCTCAGCCCAACTCAGCAGAGGGACTGCAGCCCGGTTTGCTGGTTGAAGGAGGCCTTACCCAACCCCTGTAGCCCTACACCTCCAGAATATGGAGCCAGAGGAGGGCGGGAGAGGGTGGGGGAGGGAGGGAGAGGGTAGGGGAGGGMGGGAGGGATGGGGAGGCCGGTGGGGGAGCAGGGGTGAAGGGGGCGGGGAAGCGGGGCTGGACATGTGACCTGGCCCTCAGCCCTAGGCCTATTTAGGACTCTCCAAACAAGCTGGGCTGAATAACAAGGGGAAAGCCCCAGAGGCCCACATCCCGGAGGCCACGTGGTCTGACGGGATGTCCTGGCTCAGTTACATGGAGCTCCTGCTTTTAAGACTTGCCGGGGGGTTGGCCAGGGGGGTTGGCCTGGGGGGTTGGCCTGGGGGGTTGGCCTGGGAAAGCGTCCCCAACATCCCAGCGCTGCGAGAGGGAGGGGGACATGGGACCTGGGCCCCTGGAGCTGGGGCCACTTGCTCCCCTCCCTGGGTAGACAAGGAGGTCAAGGCCATCAGGGCCCTCCAGAGAGCAAACACATGGCCTGGCCAGCCTCCAAGGTGGCCCAGGGACATGTGCGCACATGTCCCCTGGCCAGGCTGGCATCCCAGCCAGGAGGGGAGAAGACACAATGCCCATGGTGTCACAGCTGCACAACCAGTAGCGTTTTTTTTGCTCGTACCTCCCCACTGGGGCACTCGACCACTGAGCCATGTCCCCAGCCTTTTTTACTTTGAGACAGGTCCTGCTAAGTTACTGAGGCTGGCCTTGAACTTGYGATCCTCCTGCCTCAGACTCCCCAGTGTCTGGGGACTACAGGCCATCAGGGCCCTCCAGAGAGCAAACACATGGCCTGGTCAGCCTCTGACGTTCCTGTGCTAAGAAATTCAGAAATACAGGGAATGGCGTCTGCTCTTTGCCACGCTCGGTGCACGCTTAGCAGGCATGAGGCCCTAGGTTCCCTCCCACGTAAAAAAGGAAAAAAAAAAGTCCCAGGTGTGGTGGCACCCTGAGTGCCCTCAGCTCCCACCAGCCTCTGGCCCAGTGGCTCCAGAGCCCTGAGGCTCAGCTTGTGTGCAGGGACAGTGGGCGCCTCCCCCAGCCACTGACGTGGGAAGAATTCCACAAGGTTTCCATCCAACGTATCCACAWGGCCATTCCTCCACTAGATGGGAGGCTCAGGGGTCCCATACTTTATTTATGTATTTTCACATATTACAGCATTTCTTAACTAAAAAGAGAAGACAAGCCATTCCCCCAAAATACCACAAAACCACAAGGTGCACAATAAAAATACGACACTATTAAATACTTCTCATTTTTTTCTCTTCCAGAAAATCTGGAAGAAATGGATTCCTCTCTGGAATAAGTAAGTGATGGATGAAAAGTGAGAACAGTTAGTAATTATCATTTCCTTTCCAAGTTTCTTTCCTTTCTAAAGTTATGTTTATCCTCTCTCCCCTTCCTGTGTCAGGAAGACCACCAGGCTGGGCAGACAGCGCACTCCACTCCATCCGGCCCCTGTTCCACGCAGTGTCCAGCTGATGGGAATCCAGGTCGCCTCACCGTCCCTGCCCACTGCCTGACAGCCCAGGAGGCCACGGGGCATCATGGCTCGGGTAGATGCAGCAGAGGGAATGATGGGCCAGGTCTCTGAAACCTGCGCCACCATCGAGGCGTTACAGATGTCTGGCGTATTGTGGCAAGGCTCCGGGCGTCCGCGCCACCCATCCTCACCCGCATTCCCTGAGGACGGGAATCCCCCTGCTCTGAGTGTGGCAATGCCTGCCCATGAAGCCGGACTCCAAAATGTCTCGAGGGACTCACGGCATCAGCCAGCAGGCCCCGCAAACGCCCTTGTCTCTGCTCTCCAGGAAGCAGCCCGGGGAGGGCGGGCAGGTGGACGAGGAGCTCGCGGAGGCTTGGCAGTGGCAGCGTCTCGCTGCCCCAGTGGGGGGCTTGGAGGCTGCCCTCAGCCTGCTGGGCATGGGAGGACTCGGGCCCAGGAGCCCTGAGGCCAGCACTGACCAACAGCAGGTCTGTGGAGACCAAGGTGAGGGAGGGAGGAGCCACCACCCCAGCAAGCTCCCCGACCTCCCAGGCACACCCCGGAAACACAGGATGAGTCCTGGCTCAGGGGTCAGCAGCCCTACAGCCCAGGAACCAGAACAGGAACAGACAGGGGCTGACGAGGCCACCCTGGGAGAGCCACCCGGAGGAGGAAGGAGACAGTGAGAAGGGCAAAGGA